GATACCCGTACGATGCTACGAGGTCAAGTAACCTTCATGCGCAGTTCCTCTTTATTTGAAAATACTCACCGACCGTACATTCGCTTCAAATGAAACGCTTTCTGTAGAGCAGGATACGGCAGGACGATCCTCGACGAGAATTTCTGATACTTCTGACGTAGTAATACTGCCAGACGATTTCGTATCGCGTGCTGGGCTCTCTGGAGCCGGACTTGGTGACAGAGGTGCACCAAAAAGATCCATTTCACCAATTGTAGCCGCTGCGTCACTTGTATTCGCATCTGCTTCAGCGCTTTTATTTATTCGACGTCTAGGGCTCAAAAGGCCGTCCAGTGAGCTTACGGATGTTCGCCTACTAGAAGAACTGGGCGATAATGGCGCACCAAAACAGCTGTTTATTAAATCCTCATCTGCAGAGTTTTGGCCCGAAGCCTGAAAATGCTTTCCTTGAATGATGTCACGCTTCAGAATGCTATAAACAAAAAAAGGCGAAACAACAGTTAATCAAAACAGTAAAGTAATGTGCAAAATAATGCCTCAGGATTTTCGGGAGGTAGAAAAGTCGGCCGGGCAATCATCGATAATAAAGGATCTACATTCACAGATTTGAGCCATTTGGAAACATCTTCTTTATACCTACAGGAGTAATCGTTCTCGCTGCTTTGACTTGTTTCCTGAATGCACAAATATGCCTTAACAACGAAAACAGTGAATCCAAAAGATGTTCAGCCTCTTTGCAAACGGAACTTCTCAAAGCTTATCATGCAGTCCTCGTAAACACCACACAAGACAAGAAAATTCACGCAAAAAAAAAACTTACCTCTCCAACCGCTGAGTCGGTTTTTTCTACCTCATCCCTTCTACTTAAGCATTCCTGTTCTTTTTCAGTAATTGTCTCAGATTCTTCGTGGATTTTCTTTGAAATTTCTTCTTCCTCACACGAATTATTTTGTTTATCCGTCTAGAAATGAAGAGAAATCAAGCTTCTCTCACCAACGAAAAATG